CCTCAAGTAGTAGAATGCTAGCCTTGAGCAAAATAAGCTCAGGGACAGTGCCCAGACCCTGAGTCAAACCCCAGTACTGGCCAAAAAAAAAAAAAAAATACTGAAATTGGGGCTAGGAATGTGGCTTAGTGGTAGATTGTTTGCCTAGCATGCATGAAGTCCTGGGTTCAATTCCTCAGAACCACATAAAAAGAAAAAACCAGAAGTAGTGCTGTAGCTCAAGTGGTAGAGTTTGAGCCTTGAGCAAAAGAAGCTCAGGGACAGTGCCTAGGTCCTGAGTTCAAGTCCCAGGACTGGCAAAAAAAAAAAAAAAGAACTACTGAAATTAATGTTCAGACCAAAAAGTATTTGAGAAATCAAGCAAGTGTTTTATAATGGCCTGGTTATAATAAACACTATCAGAATATCCCTTTTTCCACAAATATGTAATATATTAAGGAAATTAGAAAATTTTATGTTAGAAAGCATGTATTTGGTATTGAAGAATAATACAGACACATTTAAAGCTTGATAAATATTTTTAACTTAATTTTATCAGAATACATTTGCTGTCTGTTTTTATTTCTCAATTGGAGATGTATTAAGTATAGTCTTTTTTTGGTGCTGGTCCTGGAGTTTGAACTCAGGGCCTGGATGTTGTGTGTGAGCTTCTTTTGCTCAAGGCTAGTGCTGTACCACTTTGAGCAACAGCTCCACTTCCAGCTTTTTTTGGTAGTTTAGTAGAGATCAGAGTCTCACAGCCTTTCTTGCCTGGGTTGGCTTCAAACCTCAATCCTCAGATTTCAGCCTCCTGAGGAATAGGATCATAGGTATGAGCCATTGGCATCCAGCTCTAGTATAATCTTTGTCTTGAAATAGGTTACCGGTTAGTCAGAGATAATAAAAAGTAACATATCTACAACACGATTTCACCAATATCTAAACAAAATGGTATATTGGGCACATATAGTAGTTCAGAGATAAAAAGGAGTTGATCTGGGGCTGGGAAGGTGGCTCAGTGGTAGAGCGTCTGCCTTGCATGCCTGAGGCCCTGGGTTCTATTCCTCAGCACCACATAAGCAAAAAGAAAAAGTGGCACTGTGGCTCAAGTGGTAGAGCGCTAGCCTTGAGCTGAAGAACTGAGGGACAGCGCCCAGGCCCAGAGTTCAGGCCCACAAACGGACCCCCCCCCAAAAAAAGGAGTTGATCTAAAGTATGGATAGATGACAGCATAGGCCCACAGAATGAGAGAGGAAAACCTATCTCTGTAATGTCAGTGGGAACCTTTGGCAAGGGGTGAACTTTGAAGTTATTTGGAACACAGTTTGTAAAACATTATATAAGCATCTTTTGAAAAAAGGAGGTTGGAATGCTGGGCATGGTGGCCCAAATCAGCATTTAGAAGGCTGAGGCATGAATTTGAGGGTCTGATCTTAGAATGAGACCCTCTCTCTCAAAGAAATAAAATAAAGAGATAGGATACATATCAAGCAGTATGTATATATATATATCACTTGATCCTTACTACTCTCTTCAACTGGACAGTAGAAATCCTTTCCTCACACTTTTTGCTCTCCTCCTCACTTTCACTGATGGCCTTAACTCATTCTTCATTGGAAAAATAGAAAATTTAAGAAAGAAATTGGGTAGAGTGCTAGCCTTGAGCTGAAGAGCTGAGGGACAGCGTCCAGGCCCAGAGTTCAGGCCCACGCCTGGACCCCCCCCCAAAAAAAAAAAAAAGAAATTGCTTCATCTTCCATCAGTGAATTCCTAATCAAGTTTGTTCTTAAATGTGTTTATCCGTTCATTTTGCTTAACAAACTACTTCTGCCTTTGTATCAGAATGATTTAGGGAGATTATTTAAAAACATAGATTCCCAAGAGTCTTTTCTGTACTTCAAAGCAATTAGATTGGGCCAAAAACAGATCTGCACTTGAGCTACATGAGGAACATGAATAGACGAAGGATGGCTTAGATTTCTACTCCCTCAGCCAGCACATCTTTGTAAGGAGATGTAGAGAAGTGTTCATCATTTTCATTACTTGCTTTTATTTATACTTTTTGTTTGTTGCTAGATAACTTTCCTCTTAGAAGAATCTTACATTAAAAAAATTCATAATAATCCTGATGATGATGATGATGATGATTTTGTGTGTGTGTGTGTGTGTGTGTGTGTGTGTGTGTGTGTATGTGTGATCCTAGGCAAGTATTATACCTCTGAATTGCTACTCCAACCCTCTACCTGTGTTTATGAGGCCCAGCACAAATATAGCTGCTGGTTTGTTTTTTTATAACCTAAAGATCCTTTGCTTTACTGAGGTATAGTTTACATGTTATAAGATTCATATTTTAAATGTACAGTAATTTTCTAGTAGATTTCTAAAGTACAATCATCAGTAAGTCTATTTCTAGAATGTTTCCATTGCTACAAAAATATGTCCATTTCAGTCTTCTTAATTTCACACAACCCGGGTTCTATTCTCTGTCCCTATAATATATATGCCTTTTCTAGAACATTTTATATTGTTTATACATTGGTCTTTTGTATTAGGTATTCAAGAAAATCAGTTAGTCAGTGAGAAATAAGATACTTTGCTAACCAAAATACTTGAGATATTATAGTTTAAGGCAGGGATAAGCAACATGTAGCCTGTGGGACTTACAAGGTCTAGGAAATGATTTAATAAACTTATGACAGGGAAGACATTGTATGCATCTCTTGCTGCTCCTGGCCTGTCTGCCTGAATTAATAATTTTGTATGGCCTATGAATGATGTTATAAATATCCAAATGGTCCTTAGCAAAAAAAAAAAAAAAAGATTTTTCACCCCTAAAGGGAATCGAAGAGGTATAACTCCAATTGTAATATAATCAAAGTTGTATCTGTTGGGTCATAATTTTGTCTTTTTTTTTTTTTTTGTCGGTCGTGGGGCTTGAACTCTGGGCCTGGGCGCTGTCCCTCAGCTCTTCAGCTCAAGGCAAGTGCTCTACCACTTGAGCTACAGCGCCACTTCTGGTTTTCTGGTGGTTTATTGGAGATAGGAGTCTCACAGTCTCTCCTGCCCGGGCTGGCTTTGAACTGCGATCCTCAGATCTCAGCCTCCTGAGTAGCTAGGATTACAGGCGTGAGCCACCAGCGCCCGGCTAATTTTGTCTTTTTGTTGGTAGGAAATACTGCACTAACTTATGCCTGTGCTGGAGGATTTGTTGATATTGTGAAAGTGTTACTTAATGAAGGTGCAAATATAGAAGATCATAATGAAAATGGACATACACCCTTAATGGAAGCAGCCAGTGCAGGTCATGTGGAAGTTGCCAGAGTTCTGCTCGATCATGGTGCAGGCATCAACACTCATTCTAACGAATTTAAAGAAAGTGCTCTTACACTTGCATGCTACAAAGGTATTCTAATCATGTATGAATATTTATAATTTTTTCATAACAACTTTAAATATTTGAGTATTGAGTATTTATATTGTTTGTTTTCCTGTTATTTAGAAAAAAATATATATAAAGCCCATTTTAGCCTGCATTTTCTATAGTAGTTTCCCAGTATATGTTTCTTTATTATTTTAACTTGATTTATTCAATTAGCTATGAAGTCAACCAAACCACTTAATATAGATGTAAGTTTCCTTTACTTAATAACTTTTGTTTTATATGATTTTTAACCCTTATTTAAAAGTAATATACCCACAAATAAAAATACATGTAGCAGAGAAAACCTAAAAGATAAGAAATAGTATGAAGAAATTTAAAAATTACATGTGCTGCTGCCATCTAAAGGTAAAAAATCATGTAATCAGTATTTTAGTTTGTGTACTTCCAGTGTGTTTTTAGATATTTTAATAAACAAATAAATATATAAATACATATATGAAACACAACAGTCTTACTCAACACTTTTTTATAGTCTGCTTTTTTTTAGCTGTATATCATGAACATTTTCTCATCTCAGTAAATGTTCTTGCAACACAATTTTGATAATTGGATAGTATTTCAGTTGCCTTATGGGTTGATTTGGCTACATACATCAGAAAATCCAAATGATAAAAAAAGCTCAAAAGTAAGCTATCTGGGGCTTATATAGTATAGTTCAGTTGTTATCAAGATCTCAGAATTTTATTTTTCTGCACTACCATGCTAGTATGTAGTTTCTATCCTCAAGGTTATCTAGAAGCCAAGAGAGTAAGTAGGGCCCCAGCAATCCATATTCTAGGAAAGATGAAGAGGACAGAGCAAAATAGGGAGTATCTTCCAATTTAGTAAGCTCCTTTTCAGGAGTCTTCCTAGAATTTTGTCTTGTAATTCCTGATTACTTCTCACTGGCCAATAAAGGCTGGAATGGGCAATCATTTTAGTCATGTATGTTGTCACCTAGATAAAAATTAGTTGTTATTAAAAAAGAATGGCTATTGGGTAGGGAACTAGCAGTCTCTGCCAAATACATCATATGGATACACCATAATTGCCTATTGTTGGACACTTGAATTGTTCCCAGTTTTTCACTATTATTAAAAACACTGTGATAACATCCTTGTGCAGACATTTTTGCCTAATCTCTGATTATTTCCTTAGGATAAATTCCTGGAAGTGGAATTGCTGGGTCAAAGGGTATGGACATTTTTAAGGCTTTTGATACATATTGCCAAATTGCCTTCTAGAAAGGTTGAATCAATTTACACTCCCACCAGCAGTGTTTGAGAATGCCCTTTATCCCACCCTACACCCTCACCAACACTGGGTATTATCATTCTTTTTAATATTTGCCATTTTGATAGTTGAATAAAATGGTGTTTCATTTTAATTTGTATTTCTTTAATAGGAAGGTTAATAGCTTTTTATTAGTTTAATATTCATTTGTATTTCTTTTTTGAATTACCATTTCATATCCTTCACCCATTTTTCTACTGGAGTGTTTGTCTTTTTCTTATTGGCTGTTAAGGCTTTTTATTAAATGTATCAAGAAGATTATAATTATATTAAATGGAAATTTTTATGCCTGCTTTTTGTCACAGTGAGTTTATGGTCGTTTTAAAGTATTTTTTCTAGAAATATAACTTAAAGATACTTTACCTTGCTTTCTATTTGATTTCAGTGTTTTGATTTGATAAATAGTTTATATGAAGAAAATAATAAATATTGCTTTACTTAAGTAGAATTTTGTTTTTGACCAATTAAAGTCTTTAATACCTAGATAATAGAACTTTAATGAGAGCCTGCTTATTGTTTTGGGTTGGCTTTGTAGAACTGTCATTTATTTATTGAATTCCAAATAAGTTATGATAAATTGTATGTAGATTCATCATTTTAACATTTATTCATTTAACTGATAGTCAATTCTTTAACTTCTTTCTGAAGGCCATTTGGATATGGTTCGCTTCCTACTTGAAGCTGGTGCCGATCAAGAGCACAAAACTGATGAGATGCACACTGCCTTAATGGAGGCTTGCATGGTAATTTTAATTGTTTTCACCCAACCTTTTCTGGGAAAAAAAAGTCATATGTTTTCAATCTGCTGAAAATTACTAATTGGTGTTTGGTTTGTATAGTTTGTTAAGCCAATTCTAAATTAAACACAGTTAAAGCTTTAATAAATGTGCTTTGGCAAGAGGATATCAACATGTAATCTTAATATAATACTGTTGGGTTTTGAGGTATTATTGATAAAACTAATTTCAGAGATGGTAAATATATTTTTAATATTTGTATAGCTTCAGAGTAAAAACTGATGCCAAAATATACATTGGGTATAACCTCTGAATAACCTCTAAAGCATGTTGTTTCTTTTGAAGATAAAAATTTACAATTAAGGGCTGGGGGGATAGCTCAAATATGAGGTCCTTTCCAATATGTGATAACAAAAACAAAAATAGAACCCAATACACACACACACACACACACAGAGTTGTTTAGACAGAGTCTTACTATTATCACACACAGAGTTGTTTAAACAGAGTCTCACTATTATCCCAGGCTGGCCTTGAACTTAAAATCTTCCTGCCTCATTTTCCCAAGTATAGCCATATACCACGATTCCAAAATAGAATTATACTTTTATTCCAAACATTTTATATCACCTTTAATACTGTAAATCCAGAAACCATTTTTCTTCTTCTGTAAGGAAATACCTATGAAGTACATGTGTTAGGTACTTTTCCATAGTTAAGACCAACTAAAATTCTAATACTGATAATATACCTCTAAGATATTAACTTATAAAAAATTTTTATTTTTTCCTTTGTCAGAAGCAGTGTTTATTAGTTTCAAAGAGTACCTATTACACTTACTCTCTTGATGTATAAAATTAACAGAATCTATAGAGTATCTTTTAAAAATCCAAGTAAATTTCAACTAGCACAATTTACTAGAGCTCATAGAGGCTAGTTACAAATAATAGCAATTCTTTTGAATTGTAAAACATATATTTCCTTCAATTTGAAAAGAGTTTCATATGCCAGATAACTCAGTATACCAGATTGCTAAATTTGACTAAAATACATTTTACTTTACTTATAAATATTAGTAAAACTAAAATTTAATGTGAAAGTTTGATATGTCAAAAGGGACCCAAACTATGCTTATGAGTTAAGGATAATAAAACACTTGATGGACACTGAGATACATTTAATTAAGATTTCCTTAATGAGCTGGGCACTAGTGGCTCACACCTGTAATCCTAGCTACTAAGGAGGCTGAGATACCAAGATTGAAGTTCAAAGCCAGCCTTGTGAGCAAAGTCTGTAAGACCCTTATCTCCAATTAACCACTAAAAAGCAGGATGTGGACCAGTGCTAGTAGTTCACACCTGTAATTCTAGCTATTTCAGAGACTGAGATCTGAGGATCGTGGTTCTAAGGCAGCTGGTTGTAGGTAAGTCAGTGAGAGGCTTATCTCCAATTAAACACCATAAAAAACCAGAAGTGGAGATGTGGCTCAAGTGGTAGAGCACTAGCCTTGAGCAAAGAAACCCTCAGGGGCATCATTAGTCCCTGAGTTCAAATCCTACTACCAGGATTTTAAAAAAAAGATTTCTGGGCTGGGAAGGTGGCTCAGTGGTAGAGTGCTTGCCTTGCATGCATGAGGCCCTGGGTTCGATTCTTCAGCACCGCATAAGCCGAGAGGAAAAAAAAGCCGGAAGTGGCGCTGTGGCTCGAGTGGTAGAGTGCTAGCCTTGAGCTGAAGAGCTGAGGGACAGCACCCAGGCCCAGAGTTCAGGCCCCACGACTGGACCCCCCACCCACCAAAAAAAAAAAAAAAAGATTTCTTTAACAGATTGCCCTGAAGTAGGAATGTAGCTCAGAAATCAAACACTTGCCATAGCATATAGGAGGCAGTCATACAGCATTGTACTCCCTGCCCCATGCACACACACACACACACACACACACACACACACGAACTGCTCAAGTATTAAATTAATTAAAATTTTAAAGATTATTTTAGCATTTTTGAAATATAGACCGATATAACATGTGACTTTATATGGCCACAATGATCATTAGGCCTAAATAAATTTAGAAGTCAAAAATTTGAAACTGAGCTTTGTGTTGTAGTGTGGTGATAAAGAGATAAAATGAATAACATTCCATAAGAATGTTTGTGTTAATTGCCTTACTATCTATGAAAATAGACTCAGTACAGTTATTTACAAGTAAATAAGGTCTTTTTTTGTGTGTGTGTGCCAGTCCTGTGGCTTGAACTCTGAGTCTGGGTACTGTCCCTGAGCACCTTTTGCTCAAGGCTAGCACTCGGCTTTTTCTGTGATTAATTGGAGGTAAGAGTCTCATGGACTTTCCTGCCTGGACTGGCTTTGAACCTTGATTCTCAGATCTCAGCCTCCTGAGCAGCTAGGATTATAAGCATGAGCCAGCAATACATGGTTGGGTCTTTATTTTTCTATCTTTGTAAAATTCTGTGCCTCAATGCAACGAGCTTCTCTAATGAGGAAAAATATAGGGTAGTATCAGTCCACAGAGATTTATCCTGGAAACATATTCCCAGAGGGGAATGACTTCATAGAGGTTGTTGTGTTATTGTTTTAGGTTTTAGTTTTTTTGTTTTTTTTTGGCCAGGCCTTTGTTTCTAAAATAGATACAAGAAAGTTTCTAAACTTAAACTTAACATCCTCTGAATGTGAGAGTATGTTTGACCTAGTACTTGTAAAAAGTAATTATTTTGAGGTATTGTTTTTTACTTTTTTTGGGTGGGGGGTCTGGTCGTGGGGCCTGAACTCTGGGCCTGGGCACTGTCCCTCAGCTCTTAAGCTCAAGTCTAGCGCTCTACCACTTGAGTCACAGTGCCACTTCCGGCTTTTTTCTTTTTTGCTTATGTGGTGCTGAGGAATCGAACCCAGGGCGTCTTGCATGCAAGGCAAGCACTCTACCACTGAGCCACCTTCCCAGCCACTGAGGTATTGTTTACTATGAATTCAACAGTTTTTTTTTTTCTTAAAAGTATGCAGAAATTCAAGGCAGGCTCTGGTGGCTCATGCCTACAATCCTAGCTACTCAGAAAGTACAAATTGGGAGGCAGGATCCCATCTTAATCAATAGCTGGATGCAGTAATACATGCCTATTGTTTTAGTCAAGCATGAATCCAAGATCAGGAGGATCACCTTTTTGGACCATTTTGGAAAAAAAAGAGACCCTATCACAACAACAACAACAACAGAATGTTGACTGTGGTAGTGTGGCAGGAAGCATTTAATAAAAGGATTATGGTCTAGTCTAGTACAAGCAAAAATAACAAGACCTTGTTTCAAAAATAACAGTGATACTGGGTGCCATTGGCTCATACTCAGGAGACTGAGATCTGAGGATCTTGGTTTGAAGCCAGACTGGGTGGGAAAGTCCATGAGACTCTTACCTCCAATTAATCACAGAAAAAGCCAGAAATGGCACTGTGGCTCAAGGGGTAGAGTGCTAGCTAGGTAAAGTGGCTCAGGTACAGCACCCAGGCCCAGAGTTCAAGCCCCAGGACTGGCAAAAACAAAAACAGTGGTAAAAAGGACTTGAAGGTATGGCTTAAGTGATTAAGTGCTCCTTAGCAAGTTCTAAGCCCCAGTATCTCCAAAGAAAAAGAATGTGGAAAAAGAGAATTAGAAAAAAGGTTGAAGGGTGAATAATATTGAAATATATTGTAATTATATATGTAGCCATTGGCATAAGGAATCTTAAGCTGTTATTAATAAGAAAGTTTGAGGAAGCAGGAAAGAGAAGGCACTAGCCAGGCACCGGTGGCTCACGCCTATAATCCTAGCTACTCAGGAGGCTGAGATCTGAGAATCATAGTTCAAAGCCAGCGCAGGCAGGAACATATATGAACCTCTTATCATCAATAAACGACCAGAAAACCAGAAGTGGCACTGTGGCTCAAGTGGAAGAGCACTAGCCTTGAGCTGAAATGCTCAGGAACACCGCCCACGCCCAGAGTTCAAGTCCCACGACCAACAAAAAAAAAAGAGAGAGAGAAGGCACTAAAGAGAGTTATTCTGAGCAAAACATAATATGTGCACATCTGAAATAACTTAATGTGATTGCATGGTACAGTTAATACACACTAAATAAGAAAGAAAATAAAACAATAGGAAAGTAACATAGGTTTGGGTGGGACAGGCAAAACTGGGAAGGGGAGAGCCAAAATACAGGTAAATGATGTGAGTATGGGAATGCATGTTTGAAAATAGAACAGGAAAACATTGAAATTATTTTAAGGGGAACTGTGAAGGGGTGTGCCTTCAAGTTGTCAATGGAAATGCCACAGTGAAACCCCTTGTTAATAAAATTTTTAATTAGAATATATAATGTATGCATATCTGAAATACCATGGTAAAATCCCTTAGTACAATTAATACAGACTAAAAGAAAAATGAACGACAGAAAGTATAACCTGCTCTGTTGTAGAAGGGTAGATACCAATGGAAGGAAGAAGGGTGACTGAAGAGAGTGAATGGTCAAAGCTATTTATTAGCAAAGTAGTTTATGTGACAATAAAACAATGAAACCTGTTAAAATTGTTTTAAAAGGTAAGGGAGAATGATAGAGGAAGTGAGTTTGATCAGGATATGTTGTATTCATGTTTAGAAGTATCATAATACTGCCCCCTACCACTGTACAACTAAGGTGCTAACTTTAAAAAATCATAGCTGAGAGAGGCATTGGTGGCTCATGCCTATAATCCTAGCTACTCAAGAAGTAAGTATCTGAGGATCACGGTTCAAAGCTAGCCTGGACAAAAAGTCCATGAGAGTCTCGTCTCCAATTAATCCCCAAAAATCTGGAAATAGAGCTGGGACTCAAATGTAGAATGCTAAATAACCTTGAGCAAAAAAGCTCAGGGACAATTGCCCAAGCCTTTTGAGTTCAAACTCCAGGATTGGCATGTGCGAACACATGCATACATGTTCAGATAACATACACATATACACTACCATAAATGAGTACTGGTGGCTTTTACCTTTAGTCCTAGCTTTTCAGGAGGCTGAGATACAGAGGATCAAAGGTTTGAGGCTAACCTAAGGAGAAAAGTCTGATTCCATCTTTAGGAATCCCAGCAAAAAGTCATGCTGGAGGTATGGCTCAAGTGACAGAGCACCAACCAAAGAAGAGGCCCTAATTAAAACCCCTATATAACTTCTTCCTGAAAATCATTTGAAAAAATGAAACTCAAAATTATTTAAATGTAACTGTAAGTTACCAAGCCTAATTCTATTGAAAAAAATTTGAGATTTGGTAAAAATTAAGGTAAAATAATTTTAAACATTATAAAGTAATGTTAATGACTGGATAAGGCTCAGATGGGCATAATAATGTATATGCTATCTAAGCTAAATCCTCTAATTTTCTTGTCCTCAATCTCTTGCTTTGCTTCTCCCATTAAAAAAATGTCTAAACAAAAATTTTCTCTTTTTGCTTTACCTCTGAAAATTTGCAGGATGGACATGTAGAGGTGGCACGTCTTCTTTTGGATAGTGGTGCTCAAGTGAACATGCCTGCAGATTCATTTGAGTCTCCACTGACACTAGCTGCCTGTGGAGGACATGTTGAATTGGCAGCTTTGCTTATTGAAAGGGGAGCAAATCTTGAAGAAGTTAATGACGAAGGATACACTCCCTTGATGGAAGCTGCTCGGGAAGGACACGAAGAGATGGTGGCACTGCTCTTAGCACAAGGTAAAGTAGTTGTACTTCTTTCATGAACAAAATTAGTTTTCTTTGGGTGTTTTATGTTAGGTATCAGTGAATTTTAAGACATTAGAATATTTTGTGTTTTTGCACTAGCACTGATGGTAATGTAACTTTTGAATACCTGAAAGAGAAGCTAGAAGGTAGAGATGATTATCTATCACAAATCAGAATATCTTTATTATTGTTCAAAGTAGTTCTTTTCTTCTTAATTTTCTTACCAGGAGCAAATATAAATGCCCAAACAGAAGAAACCCAAGAAACTGCTCTTACCTTGGCTTGCTGTGGAGGATTTTCTGAAGTTGCAGACTTTCTGATTAAGGCAGGAGCCGATATAGAACTTGGCTGCTCCACTCCTCTGATGGAGGCTTCTCAGGAGGGACACCTGGAGTTGGTTAAATATTTGCTGGCTGCTGGTATGTTGTTTTAAAAATGTCCTTGTAGTACAAAAAGAAAAATATAAAATAACACTTGTTATATGTGGAATCCAAAAATACTGAACTATAAATAGAGTTGAATGATGATTCCTAGAGTTGGGATGGGCTGGATGAGGTAAATATTGTTAAAAGAAACAGGAGAGTTGGCTACCAGTGGCTCACACTTGTAATCCTACCTACTCAGGAGGCAAAGATCTGAGGATCACAGTTTAAAGTCAGCCTGGGCAGAAAAGTCTGTGCTACTCTTATCTCCAATTAACCATCAGAAAGCCAAGAGTGGTGGTGTGGCTCAAGTGATGAGTGCTAGCTTTGAGGGGAAAAAAAGGGGGAAGATGTTGACAAGGAGATAGAATTTCAGTTAGATAGGAATAAGTTTAGTGATTTATTGCACAGCAGAGTAACTATAGTTAAAAATATTGAAATATGCATTTCACATTTCTAGAGGAGTAGACGAGATATTCTCACAAAAAGAAAAAAGTGAGGTGATCAACATGTTAATTTTCTTGATTTAATTATTCCAGTGTATTCATACTTTACAATATCATATTGTACCCCTCATAAATATATGTGACTTATTTATCAATTAGATATAAAATTAGGTCATACCTTTAATCATAGCTACTCAAGAAGTTGAGATTGGGAAGATTGAGGTTTGAGGCCAGAACAGGTACAATATTTTGTGACACCTTCTTAACCAATGTAAAGCTGAACATAATACTATATACCTGTCATTCTAGGAGCTGTAAGTAGAAACAAGGTTAGCTCTGAATTCTTTTTTTACAGTGATTTCATTTGTAGTCTCTGATAGTTTTCTTGCTTTCTGATAAACAGGCTCATGTTATTCTTGCTCCTGTCTTAGATTCAATTATTTCTCCAAAAAGCTCTATTTTACTTACTAGCTAGTGTTATTGAGACTACAGTGTAAGCTAGAAATACATTTGTTTGGTCTTTCAGTATCTCTAAGCCTTTTCAATGAGTCAAGTTAGGAAATACATATTTTGTGTAGAGATTTAAAAAAAATACATCTTGGGCCAGGCACTGGTGACTCATCTGTGATCCTCTGACTACTCAGGAGGCTGAGATCTGAGGATCACATTTCAAAGCCAGTCAGGAAAATTCATGAGACTCTTATTGCCAATTAATCACCAGAAAACTGGAAGTGCAGCTTTGGCTCAAAGTGGTAGAATGCCAGCCTTGAGTCAGAAAGCTCAGGGACAGTGACCAGACCCTGAGTTCAAGCCCCTCAACTGACAGAAAACTAAGCAAAACAAAACAAAAATCTAGAATTCATGTCACTACTTCCAATTCACAACAGTAAGATTTTTACTTAACCTCAATTTTTTTCTTAACCATGCCAAAACTTTTGGTTCTTACTAAGTAATTAGTTATTTGACTTGTTCCACAAATGCAATAGAGCTGTTTCAGAATTCAGACCAACACTAGCATCAATATGATTTCCCAAAACTTTAAAAACTCTTTTGATTTGTTTTTGTAGCTCTTTTATTCTTTAGGGTGTAGCTTATTTAGGGATATATAGACAAATTTGGTTTAATTATGTTTAGTACTTTTTTGTGAGGCTGAAAGCATTTTTGAAATAAGAGTGTTCTTTAATTTTTTTAAATTTTAATTTAATTTTATTACCTCTGCTGGTACTAGAGCTTGAGCTTAGGGCCTTAGCTATCAAGGCAGGAACTCTACCACTTACGCCACACCTCCACTTTCCTAAAATGTATTCTGATGATGTTTTACATTTTGAATTCTTTGGTTTCACCAGATTGCAAAATTGGACCATCTAATTCCACAGTTCACAAAGTAAACTTGTGCTTTTTTTGTTTGTTAGGCGCTAATGTACATGCTACAACAGCAACAGGAGACACTGCCCTAACCTATGCTTGTGAAAATGGACACACGGATGTTGCAGATGTTTTACTTCAAGCAGGGGCCGATTTAGTAAGATATTTTAAATTTGAAATATTTTTGCATGAATGTAAGCACTTGTTTATATTTAACATCTAGAAAGTATTGATAAAGATCAATAGTTTGCTTTCTTTGTATAAAATAAAATAGTTTGGCCACTTGTAGTTGTTGCATGTATTGACTATATTTGAAGTAATGATTAATAGAGCAAATTGATTTCCTAGGTAAAACTATTAATTTCCTTCTCATACCAGCCCCATTTGATACTCCTACTTTTTAAGCTGCCATTTATTAGATATATCATAAATTTAGTGTGATATGTTCACCATGTAATATGTCAAAGGGTAGGCCAGACCCAAGTCTGTCTGGGGAGTAGGGCTCTGCAGACCCTACTTTCATTGACTAGGGTCCAAGCTTTGGGGCCTACAACAAACAGGTCTTTTAGTGTTAAGAGCCATTTAGTGGAGCCTGTGGCTCAAGTGATAGAACACTATTCAATGAATATGAATTATATTCAAAGGAAAAACAAAAAAGCTCAGGGAAAGTTCCTAGGTCCTGAGTTCAAGCCCCAGGCATTCAGTCTCTCTCTCTCTCTCTCTCTCTGTCTCTGTCTCTCTCTCTCTCTCTCTTTCTCTCTCTCTCTTATACACACATACACAGACAGGTGTGAGCTGGGCACTGGTGGATCACACCTGTAACACTAGCTACTCAAGAGGCTAAGATCTGAGGGTCACAGTTCAAAGCCAGCCTGGGCAGGAAAGTTTATAAGACTCTTTATCTCCTACTAAGTACCAAAATAAAATAATGAAGCTGTGATTCAAGTGGCAAAACACTAGCCTTGAGCAAAAAAGCTCAAGGACAGTGCCCATGCCTTGAGTTTTTTTTTTTTTTAAGTTACATGCTTACTCCATGAGTTTTGTCTGTAGAGAGATGTCTCTGCTTAATAATACTTTTTATGGTAGAAAAAAGTCATATTATTTTTTAGTAGTCATAATTCTTCAGTGCAAAAAATTATGATAGTTTGAATGTTTAAAAGCTATAAATAAATTTTATAATTTCAGGCTTTACTATAGACCAAAGAAAGAAAATTCCCTTATGTGTTGTTTTTCTCCACATACTCAAAGTAGAAAGAGTTAGGAGTTGGGGAATTAGCTTACTGGTAGAATACTTGTCTAGTCTATGAAGCACTGGGTTCAATTACCAGCACCACAAAAATCAGTCAATCTGCTTTATTCTATTCTTTAAGATATTTTGTACCAGATGTGTTAAAATATTTATTAAGGTTTTAAAATACTTTATGGTATATATGTATGATATTTTCTTTATCCATTCATCAGTGGATTCCAGTTTGGCTAGTGTGAACAGTGTTCTAATAATGGGTATGAAAATATCTTTCTTGTTGTTGACTTATACTCCTTTTGATATATGCCCAGTAATGGTATGGCAAGATCATAAGGTAGGTCTATTTATTAGTTTTTAAAGAAACCTCCATACTTATTTACAATATGGAAGTTTCAACTAGTTTACATTTCTACCAGTAGCGTATGAGAGTTTCCTCTCTTCCCACCCCTGCCCCCATAGTCTACCCTGCACTCTCACAGCATTTGTTGTTTTCTTGATGTATGCCTTTCTCAATTGGGGTGGGATATAGTCTTAGCAAAGTTTTATTCACATTCCTTTGTGGCTAAGGATGTTGAACATTTCTTCATATATCAGTCATTTATACTTCTGAGAACTGTTTCTTTAATTTGCTTGCTAATTGATTAGTGAGCTGTTTAGTTTTTTGAGCTCTGTATATTCTGGATAAATAGCTGGAGAAGATTTTCTCTCATTCTGGAAAATATTTATTGTGGTTTAAAACCTTTTTAATATAAAAGTTTAGTTTTCTTGTATTGTTTCCTGAGATGAAACTAAAGTTTTGGGACCTCCCCCCCCTCCCCCCCAATCCTAGCACTTGAACTAAGGGCCTGGGCACTGTCCCTGAGCCACTTTGTGCAGAGTCAAGACTTAGCGCTCTACCACTTGAGACACAGTGCCATTCCTGGTTTTTGAGTGGTTAATTGGAGATAAGAGCTCATGGGGGCTTTTCTCCCAGGCTGGCTTTGAAGTGTGATCCTCAGATCTCAGCCTCCTGAGTAGCTAGGATTACAGGCGAGAACCACTGGCACCCGACTTGTAATTACATTTTTAAAACAGTTATTTGAAGCTTTATTTTCTCTAAGCTTAAAAATGTTTCAGATTTGAAATATTTATAATTCTAACTTATTTTTCTAGAAGAAACATATATCAAGAAATATAGAACTCAAGAGAGAATATGGAAATATGTATTTCTATATTTAAAATATCTATATTTTAGCACATTGAATATTATATCGGAATATAAGGCTTTGTCTGAAAAGTAATTACATAAATTTGAATAATACCTACTTATTTAACTTTTGGACTAGCTTAGTTTTTGTATATAGACCACTTTGAATACGTGTGTGTGTGTGTGTGTGTGTGTGTGTGTGTGTGATTGTGAATCAGGGCATGGGTGTGTGTGTGTGTGTGTATGTAGTAGATTGTGAATCAGGGCATTGGTGCTTTCCCATAGCTTTTTTTTTTTCTTTTTTGTTGGTTGTGGGGCTTGAACTCTGGGCTTGGACGCTGTCCCTGAGCTCTTCAGCTCAATACGAGCGCTCTATGGCGTCACTTCTGGTTTTCTGGCAGTTTATTGGAGATAAGAGTCTCATGGACTTTCCTGCCCAGGCTGGCTTTGAACCATGATCCTCGATCTCAGCCTCCTGAGTAGCTAGGATTATACGCGTGAGCTTCAGGCTAGTACTCTACCACTTAAACTAGAGCTCCATTTCTGGCTTTCAGGTAGTTAATTGGAGATGAGAGTCTCATGGACTTTCTTGCTCAGGCTAGGTTTAAGGCATGAGTCACTGGTGCCTGGCTGTAGAGTTGTTGTTGTTTTGTTTTGTTTTTTTTTAAAGTGTTCTCCCTCTTTAATGTGCAGAATTGTTTTAGCTATTCCAGAATCATTGAATTTAACTTGTACGCAGAGCGCCTTGAACAAATGACAAATCTCCATGCTATTATGTGCAACTATGAATTAACTACAGAGGGAAATATTATATATTGAATAAAGATTGTAAATTTTTGCATGGCATGTGTTTAGTGGGCTCGGGTTTTTTTATGATTTGTTGTGCTTATAGCTGTAATATGATATAAACTTATAAGAAAATTTTATTAAATATATTCTGTAGTACACATTTTGTAGTACTTAGATTGTAAAAAACTATTTTGTAAAAGACTTTGAGATCACTTAATCTTGTTTCTCTGTAATGGATTTTTCATATTTTGGTGTCTTTACAAAACTGTTACTAAATTACTTGGCTTGAAATAGTCAATAAACACCCTTTTAAACACTGAAGTTAAGGCCTGTTTAGTGGCTCAGTCCTCTAATCCTGGCTAGTTGGGAGACAGATTGGGAGATCCTTTTTTTGAAGTCAGCCAGCCAAATCAGGAAGTAAAGGAGACTCCATCTGAACCAATGTCTAGATGTGGTGGCATGCCTTAGTTATCTTAGTGTCTGGTGCTGTAGTGAAAGCTTGTCATTCCCAGTGCTACAGGGAAACATAAGTAGGAACATCCAGGCATACAGGAATTTCACACCGCAAAAATGACCAATGCAGAGTTAATTGAATCCAGAAAGAAAGTACAGCTAGCAAGATCTGGGCACTACAGACCAGTGACTCCTCTGGACATCCTAGCAAATGCTGGGTTATAGTTTTTGGTATGGTACCATCCCTCACCCAGTGCTAGCGGGTGGTCCCTCTGATCCATAATCCATTGTCATCAGCGGTGCCCATGATCCTACCTCAGGCCCTTTGGGTCCATCCTATGCCATCTACTTGCAACCTGCCCAAGCCCAAACCATTACACCACCCCAAGACCTGAGCCCAGCAGTCTGTTCCACCTACTAGATCAAATGACTCCACAGATGCCACCACTGAAAAGCCACCAATGATGCCATGAAGTTCAGTAACCTCTCCAGACCTGGAAGCTTGCTGCCTTCAGCAGAAAGACAAGGGGCAAACGACTGAAAGAGGGAGGCAGCTGGAAAAAATAAAGGTTCCAAGAAAGTAAGTGTGCTGAGGACAGTGGATCAAAAAAGAAATCCGTGTGCTAAGGGCAGTGGATCCAAAAAGAAATTTAAAGAGGACTTTAAAAAGATTTGAAAACTTCTTCACAACTTTTTCTTCAGGATCCCTAATCCCTTTCATTCAATGCTCATCCCTGGGAACAAATCCATTTTGTCTAGTAAAGAAAACCTGTCTGGGCTGGCTTGAACTTGTGATCCTCATATCACAACATCCTGAGTAGCTAGGATTACAAGTATGAGCCACTGGTACCCAGCAAAATTTAAAACTTTTCTGAACTATTTTACTTTAGTCGTGTAACTATTAATAGTTTGGGAAAGGAGACCGTACAATATGTCTTTTCATAAAGTTGGAGATAGAAAATTTTGTTTCTTTGATTCTTTTGAATGTTCTTGGATAATAATGACACTTAATTCTCTCGATTTCTTTTATTCCCCTTCCTCATTTTCCTTTTTATCCTTTTTTTCTTAATTTTTCCTTGACATTAATTTTTAGATACTTAAGAATATAAGTGTTTTCAGATATTTATGAATATAATTTGTCCAATTCCCTTGTCAATGCCTGCCTTCCCTCCCTCCCTCCCTTCTTCCCTCTCTCTCTCTCTCTCTCTCTCTCTCTCGTTGGTTGTTGGGCTTGAACTCAGGGCCTGAGTGCTGTCCCTGAGTCTCTTTCGTGCTCAAGGCTAGTGCTCTACCACTTGAGCCACAGTGCCACTTCTATTTTTGAGTGGTTCATTGGAGATAAGAATCTGATTGGGACTTTTCTGCCAAGGCTGGCTTTGAACTGCAATCCTCAGATCTCAGCCTCCTGAGCTAGGATTACAGGCGTGAACCACTGGCACCTGCCTGCCCCCTCCCTTTTTTGGGGGGGGGTGTCGGTCGTGGT